AGGTGTCAATCCATATCTGCCAAGTGACCCGATGTAGGGGGACCAGTCCCTATTCTGCTCTGTGTCAGTGTGTACCAGGGAACCCTAGGACAGGTGTCAATCCATATCTGCCAAGTGACCCGATGTAGGGGGAACAGTCCCTATTCTGCTCTGTGTCAGTGTGTATCAGGGATCCTTAGGACAGGTGTCAATCCATATCTGCCAAGTGACCCTATGTAGGGGACCAGTCTCTATTCTGCTCTGTGTCCGTGTGCATCAGGGGCTCTGAGGACAGGTGTCAATCCATATGTCAAGGTGTCAATATGTCATATGTCAGGTGTCAATCCATATTCATTGTGATTTAGGAATGTTAGGTGATTTCTGCCCTTTATGGATTAAAACCAGACTCTGTATCAACTGTGTAATTTTCCATGGGAGTTTTGCCATGGATCCCCCTCCGGCATGCCACAGTCCAGGTGTTAGTCCCTTGAAACAACTTTTCCATCCCTATTGTGGCCAGAAAGAGTCCCTGTGTGTTTTAAAATTCGCCTCCCCATTGAAGTCAATGGCGTTTCGGGCGGTTCGCCGGTTCGCGAACATTTCCGGAAGTTCGCGTTCGCCGTTCGCGAACCGAAAATTTCGGGTTCGCGACATCACTAGTGACAAACTCCCCTCTCCAAGTGAGTTTGCCACGAGCTCCTGGAGGAGCCTGCTTGCCAGCCTCCTGCCCACAGACTATGGGCCCTGCAGGGAAACATATAAAAGACTACCAAACTTGACCGACCGTTAGCACTGATTTCATGGAACTGTTTCATGTGCACGGTCGGTCAAAATGATGACTTCGAGGAAATTCCTGAACCGACCTGGGTGATTTTTGGATATGATGTTCACCCAGAACTGGGCTATCAGGGGATGTAACTATATGGGGTGTGTTTTTAAGGTACTTTTTGGGGTTTCATAAAATTGTACGTTTTTATGTGCTTGGAGATAATTGGGTTAGATCCTGATTCAATTATCTCCAAAGCACAGAGGAGGGATTCTATTGTTTGTGTATGGGTGTGTCTCACTGTATGACTCTGTTTTTATTGGTTTATTCAATGTGTGTCCCTGTGCCCAATAAGGTCCTCCTGGGCATCACCCTTGTTGGGAAACTTGCATAAAAGGCCAGTGTGCTTCCATTAAAATTCTATTCCAGCTTACACTCCGAAACTGTCGTCCTGTTATTGGAGGGAAAGAAGATTTACTCTTGTGTCTGCTGTTCCAGCTTGCAGGAGATTCAATGGGCAAAGCCCTTGTAAGGACTAGAGTTTATTCCCCATTCAGCTCCAGGAAGGAGCGGTTCCAGGGCCCCAGTCAAGAAACGGTGAGTGTGAGCAGAAGTGCTGCGGTTTGTCCCCTGTTCCAGCTAGGAAGCGGTCCTTGGTGGAGGTACCCAGCCAGGGGTACAAGGAGCTCTGCTATAATCTGCATAAAGGTTCAGTTTCAATTCGCCAGAATTTGTTCTGAACCCTTTAATCCTATTATTATCTCTAATCTGAGAAGCCAGCGGTTCCAGTGACATTATTTATAGAATCGGGGAGAGCGGGCAACCCTGCCTGGTTCCATTCGCCAGATAGAACCAGTCAGAGCTGAAGCCCCCCGGAGTACCCTTGCAGTTGAAGCTGAATACAAGGCCAGAATGACCTCCAACATCCACCTATTCAAACCAAATTTCCTTAAAACTTCCCTGAGGAAACCCCACCTGTCGAACGCCTTTTCAGCATCCAAAGACAGGGTCAGGTGGGTTCTACCCTCTGATTGCACTGCGTCCAAAATATCTATTAATCTCCTGACATTATTTATGGATGATCTTCCAGGGATGAAGCCCACCTGGTCCAGATGGATCAGTGTGGGGACAACCTGCTTTAACCGTTCTGCCAGTACCGCAGAATATATTTTAATATCACTATTAATGAGTGAG